ATATATAATATCTATAATTACATAATATATGTATTTATACATATATAATATATTATATATACATATTAACAAATAATACATTATATTTTAATATATTAATTAATTATTAATAAATATATGCTATATAATATATAATATCTATAATATCTATAAATTACATGATATATGATTATACATATAAATATATATAATATATTATATAAAATATATTACATATTAACAAATAATATAATATATTTTAATGTTAATTATATATATTTATATATAAATGTAGTACATAAATACAAATAAAAATAAATATATAAATAAAATATATTAATATTATCTATTATGTATTATACATTATATATTAATGGTTTGACATTAAAATGTTAATTTGCCATACATTCATAAACTAGATTATCTCTGTGAAGAGGCATAGCTGGGCTTTGGCATAACCAACTGAAGGTGATATGAGGGGGTTTTTATTCTAGTTTGGGTGCTTGGTTTTCTACATCATATGCAAATTCTCATCTATAATATTAGCAAATATGCACTGATTTGATTATTTAAAAAATAATTGGTGGGAGTAACTTGCATTCCAAGACAGTAACTTGTAGCTGAACGAGCTGGAAAATGTGGATACGTGGAGACAGGTCTGAAAATCTGGGTTTTTTTCCTGCCCAGCTGGTTTACGGAGGAGCTTCCGATTGAGTCGAAAAGAGAAGGAGAACAGTGTGAATGAAGGCAAGCAAGCAGAGCAGGCTGATGGAGCAGAGTTCCTCACATATGAAGAAGTCACAAAGTATCAGCAGCAGCCTGGGGAACAGCAGAGGCTGGTGGTTTTGATTGGTAAGATGCACAACTGGTGCAAAATTCTTCGCCTTTCTCCTTCTTCCCTCATCACCTGCACTGCAAAGGGCTTTCTTTCAGTGTTTTGTTTGGGTTTTTTGTGGGTCCTGGTGGGTTTTTTAAAAGGTTTTTCTGGTTTTGGTCAGAGGTTGCTCTTTTATTTCAAACTACATTAAAAAACAAACCAACCAACTGAAAAAAAGCAATCAAACTCACCAAATCCTCCTAAAAATAATGATGCAGGACTATTTCTCATTTTTCTGATTCACCTTCCATTGATTCTCACTCAAACATGTACACTTAAGCTATTGGAACAATTGATGAAGAGGTAAATGTTAAAATTATCTAACAAGATCTTGCATGCAACTTTAATTCAGTAGGTTTATCAGCTTTGTGAGAAGCAAGTTTCCCAGGATGGCCTAGAAATCAAGGGTATCCCACAGAACCTGAGTGCTAAGATTACAGATTTTCTGACTTGGTGTCTGCCAAATGTTTGTCCAACAGCCCTTCAAGGAATTCAGTTTGTTCCTGGTGATGTTCTTCAAAGTAGAATCTGATGGAGCAGGTCATGAGGCCTCTCATGTCCAGGTTTCTTCAGGCACATTCCCAAATCATGTTATTTGTGTGAAGCTGATACATTTATTCCCTGCAGTATTCCATGCCACACAGAAATCAGTCAATCAGTTTTATTTTATTAGGTTGCTTGGGGGCCAAATTAAGTGAGCTCAAGCAGAAGGTTGTGTCAGAGAACCCACAGGAGTATGGGGTTGCAGTTCCACGTGAGTAAAATTTACTAACTTGTGTGTGTTTATTTATTCCTTCAATGCTGTCTAATAAATATAGTGCCAGCTGCACTGATGAATGATAATTTGTGTTCTGACTGTTGATTACATGCATGTTTTAGGAGGAGTTAAAATTATTTTTCTCTTTGTAATATACTATGTTTGCCCTTAATAGATGAATAAATCATTATGTGACTTTACACGTGTGCATTTTGGAATTCTGCCAGATCAATGGGGGTTTTTTTTGAATTGTGTTTTCCCAAGTGAACAGATTGCATTTTCTCAGTGTCTGTTAAAAGAATGAAAAACTCAGTAGAGGAAGTAAAAAACAGACTGTGACTTGCAGAAAGAGCTGGTGTGAAAAACTAGTATGTTCAGAAAACATTGTTTGCAAAGGCTGATATGTCTCACATGTCTTGCTTCCATTCTCTTCTAGATACAACCAGGTCAAAGAAAAGTCATGAGAAGGAGGGAGTAGAATACAATTTTGTCTCTAAGCAATCATTTGAGACAGATGTGCAGCAAAACAAGTGAGTTAATTTTAAAACACTGGTACAACTGACTATTTAAAAATATACCTCATTCAGTCTTGCATGATGTGGACACCAAAATGGGATGTCAGGTTGGAGTAGCTGTGTTAGAGGGGTTCTGCTTTCCAGGTCAAAAGCTCTTGATTCCATCTGGACTGTCAGAGCAAACTCAAAGATTTAGTGAGAAGCAAATCAGGAATAACATAAGATGGAAGGATTGCAGTCCACTTCCTGACTAGCTTTATTCTATTTTCTGTGAAAAACATCTTTTCTTCTTCTTCTTCTTCCCCATCTTGTCAGTAGTGCTGATTAGCTCTTAGTGACATGGGAAGAAGACTATTGCTACAAAGCAACCAGAAGGAAAAAAAAAAAGAAAAGAGAGAAAAAGAAATCCTTTCCTACCTGTCCCTGATTTTCTGCCTTTCTCCTCCTCATTTGACTACTGTGACTTCAGCAAACAGCTGTCAAATGTTCTAAGTTAAATATTCTGTGGAGATGGTATTTAAAAATGTATTGACTTTTTAGATTTGTAGAACATGGAGAATACAAAGAAAATTTATATGGTACAAGCCTGGAGGCAATCCGGTCTGTGATGGCCAAGAAGAAGGTTTGTTTGGTGGATGTGGTACCTGAAGTAAGTTCTGCATCTTATTTTAAAGAATGTAAATATTGCTTATTATGCTGCCAGCCTGTGTCACTGGTGTTGTTCACCACTTGTGGCTGCTTACCCTCCAGAGAACAATGAACTTGTGTCTCCTGGCCTGACCTCCAGCTCTAAGCAGTGCAGTGGTGACAGTTCCTGGATGTCTTGTTAATAAACCTGGATGTCACTTTAGTGGCTCTCACTGTGGGACTTTTCCCTTGCTGGAGGGGTCATGTGCATCACTGGCCTCACCTGCTCAAGTCCTACACAGAATACTTGGAGCATTGTTGTTTTTTCCACTCTAGTTTCTGTTGCCTCTGAAGCACATTACTAATCATCCTAAGCAGTGCCAGTAGACCTGGTCTTAATTCCTCCATGCTGTGAGTTAATCTTTGAAATTTTGATTCAGATCTTGTAACTGGGCTAGGAGAAGACTTGTAATACTACCTCAGGTGAATTCCAGGTTTAAAATTTCTGGTGTTTGGCCACTTAAGCAAACCATAGCTTGCCCATGAAGTCAATTTTTTTTTCTACTTTCCCCAGTATTTTTTGCCATATCCTTTCTCCTTGGTATCACAGTGCATAGTAAGGCAGGTGTGCAGTTAAGGCCATGCTCCAAATACTCTTGGAGCCAGGACACACTGATATGAACCTTTCTTTTGAAGAGCAAAAGATTACTGAGGTCAAATGTATAGCACACAGGACCTCACACCACAGGGTGTCAGTGTGTACCAGTGAAACTGTTGAAAGGAATTTGAGTAGATCATTGACATACAACAGAAGTCTGATAACAAAAAAAACATCTGTTCACAGGCAGTAAAGCATTTGAGGACTCCTGAGTTTAAGCCTTATGTCATCTTTGTGAAGCCTCTTATTTCAGAAAAGAAAAAACATGTCCTAAAATCTCCCATGTCAGAAGAAATCTCAGCCCCCCTGGTAAGTATTCTAACTTTTAATCTTCTTTTTACACATGAAAGAAGTATTTGGACTAGCACTTCTATGACATGAAAGAGCTCCTCTTCCATGACAGCAAGAATGTCAGAGTGGGGCTCTAAGAAGGTCTTGTGCACATATTGCCTTTCAGCTGGAACTTCAGAATGTGAGTTTTGACTCTTTATATACTCAAGTTTTAAAGTAACACGAAGCCACGTGCTGCTCTTCCATGTGGACCTGTGTAATCATCAAAGCTGCAGGAGGGGAAGTTGCTACTGAACTCAGATAAACTGATAATCATTTTACATTCCTGATGAGCAGCCCCATCAAATGGTAACAGTAGTCACTCCAAAGTGACACCCACTCTGGTGTTAATTGGGTACACAAAAAATGCAGGATGTGCATGTCTTACAAGGATCAGCTGCAAACTGGTGATGGGTAAATCTGAACAGATTTTACTTTTACTTTGGGTAACCTGAACTTGAATTTATACACTACAGAACTTTAGTTCACTTGGTAAGTTCTTGTGTAAGCCCTCAAAATTACTGAACTTGGGACCAGTGGATCCAGCACTCCCTTTCAGTTTTTGAGGAGTGATTTCCAGGTCTTAGGGTTAGGCAGCAACTCTAAATGCAGTGTCACCATCTTATGCCCCTCCTGTGACATGTTTTTTTTCCCCACTCCATAAAACCTCTTGCATTTTTTTGAAACAGCTCCTTAGTCTCAGTTGCAGTACCTTACATACCTTTTCCTAATGGCTTTTGTTTCACTGTCTTTCAAAGTAGTGACTTACATGTGCTAATATACTTTAAAATGCTAGTAATTAAAAAGACATGCTGTAAATTTCATACCATCATCTTGTGTTGACCAGCAGGATGAAGAACAGCAGGAAATTCTTAATTCAGCAGCATTCATTGAAGAGCAGTATGGCCATTTAATTGACACTGTACTGGTGAAAGAAGATCTCCAGAGTGCATGTAATCAGCTGAAAACCGTGTTAGAGAAGCTAAACAAGGATTCATTTTGGGTGCCAGTCAACTGGGTGAGGTCATAGCTTGTTACCATGTTTAAGGGAAAGACTGTATAAAAATGTCTTGTAAATGAGTGAATTAGAAAAGGGAAATATGTCAAATTCACTTCAAAACTGCTGGTCTGTCTAAAAGGCAATATATAAAGACTGTATGAGGAAGAACTAACAAAGTTAAAAGCTGACACTGCCTCCCTGAATCAAAATTTTGAATAGCAGCTGTCATTTAAAAGTGAATACTCAGACTAAACAAGTCAGTCCAATCTTTTACTGATCTTTAGGCTGTAAATAGTGTATTTTGTACAGTGAGGTTTCACAGAGGGTCCCACACTTCTAAAGCATTTTAGTGCTGAGACACTGACTGACCAGGTGGAATTTTTGTCCTTTGGCCACAACTCCAGCCACAAAATCAGAATGAGGTAGTCTTTGGGAACAAGCTACTTCTTCTGCCCTCTTTCCCAGTCTCTTCCTACTGACACAGGACAAATTTTAAACAACCCATGAGTGCACCTGTATGATGAGCCAGCTGATAAAACAGACACTTTTTTTAGTCTATGTGAAAGTACCTGCACGTGGTTCTAAAATACAACATTTAAGCAGCCTATTTTCTACAAGACACCTTTGGAAGTGCTACCTGATGGGATACAGTCTTGACACCAATGCAGCAACTCCTAAAAGGAGGAGGCTGAAGGACAAAGTAGCTGAGCTACAGGTCCAAATCATCATCCCTGCAGCATTTATGGCTGCCTTTGCTCCAAATCTGGCAAAGGCTTCCAGAGCATCTAATTGGCCTGAAGAAATCTTAACTGTTAGAAGACCTTGTATATATATTTCAGGAGACTTGAATATACAATATTATTAGATAGGTCTTAATAAGAAAATGCAGAGATGATTCTGGAAGTACCTGTGCTCTGTAATTATTTGGGGGGTGGAGGGAGAGTACTGTACAGGTGCATGTTAGCTGTAACTAGTTCCTGGTTTTGCTTGCCTGCTGTGCTCTAATATTTCCTGTGTACTGTGCTCTTTAAACAAGACCTTTTGGTGCACCAGTCTTGTTCCTTGCATCTTGACAGTATGGTGTTATTCTTGTTCCATGACATTTAGCAGAACTAAACAATGCATATTAAAAGCACATTTCTTACACACCAGTGTCACTGAATCTACATCACCTCTAGCTCAAGAAGTTGTATAGAACAGCTACACATATCCATCTTCTCCAAGTGTATACCATGTAATATTTAAATAAGTGTAATATTTTAAAAACTGTTTCAGTAACAGCATTTCAAATTATGAAGTGAGCAGATTAATCTTACCCTAGATCTATATTGCAGGTTACAAGCAGGTTTTTATAGTTTGCAAGAACACAAACATGTTCAGAAGATACAGATTTAATTTAAAGAAAACTAAGGGTCAGAATTTATTTAAAGCAAGGTTGCCATCTTAACATCTTAAAATATTTTGAATGACTAGCAGTAAATAAAGCTGTAAGTTTGTTTTATGGTCAAACATAGCCTAATAGTAGAAACTATTTGCATTAAGAGAAGCAAGGCAAGTTACATACAAGGTCCACCTTAAGTTACAATGACTAAAAACTTAAAATACCAAGATACAATGGCAAGAGAGGTATAAAAGGTAAAAAGATAAATTCATAATGGGATTGGCAACAGAACTTCTTCCATAGCCAGCACAGTTTCTATTAAATTTAGTTGGAGCCCTGCAGTTGCTGAGTGAGGACAGGAATGTGAGTTTGCAGAGAACCACACTGGCTGCAAAAAGGACCCCCAGTGTGAGCCAGTCCAAAAGGATGGCTCCATTTCACCCCTGATCCCAGGTACATCTTCATGACAACCCTAACATTAAGGAGTAAGTCAGCTCACTGTCAGGGGACAGGTAGCAATTCTGACTTTTTAAAATCAGCAAACTATGTCCACTGCTCAGGGTAACTCCTGACTGTTAACTACATTTAAGGGAACTTGGGTGCCTAAAATGGGTGCCTAAAACTCCCATGCCATGCCAGGGAAGAGAAGTTGCTCAACATTCCAAACTGGAATACTCCCTTATTTCTGCTAAGGCAGGAATTCCAGAAAAAGTCCACGTTGACTGCCATACAGCAAGAGCACAACACTCTAAGCAGCACTATGATTAAATACTGAAAAAATCTCAGAGTTACCAGAAAAATATCTGCAGATAGCAGTTGTGCATCAGGGAAGGAGAAATTGGATTTTGTTAATGAACACAAATGTATTTTGCTACCCAGTTTGTGTTTTGGAGCTGCACAGCTGGTGGCAGGTCAAACACGGCACAGATTAGTGCTTGGAACCCACCCACCCCCCCTTTTTTTTTTTTTCAGGTCCCCTCCATTCAGGCAGAACAGCCACCTGTAGATTTAAGAAAGTGGACAGTATGTACCACATAAACTTTTATGCTGCTGTGCTGAAGATTCCATTAGCTGGACTCCCCGTTTCTCTGTGCTTTTATCCCAAAGACTTGGGGTCTGCAGGATCTTTCTGACTAGTTCCTCAAAGGCATGTTGCACTCCATCCTGTGTCTTGGCACTGGTCTCTGGTGGAGGGGGGAAAAAATATTTTACCTTATTTGCAGGGAGTATATTTCCACTTTGTAAAAAAGTTATTTTGGGACCAGCGAGCTGATGTGATTTTTTTTTTTTTAATGAGCCAATTTCCTCTCCATTATCTCTTAAAGGTACACTTAAGCTGAATAGGGTAATCAGAAATGCATTCTCCTAGTTTCCAGAGAATATAAAATTCATGCCTATATAGTATATGCAGTAAATTGTTTCAGAGAAAAGTGCTTCTAGTTGCAGTCAAGGCAGAGCATCCAAAAAGTTGGAGCCTACATCCATCCATATGAACTAATGCAGCAAAAGGAACCCCCATAAACAGGTGCTAAAAAAAAAGGCAGATCAACCCATCAACCTGAAATACAATTGTACACTTGGTTCATGCTTAGCAATCCCAAAATAAACATAGGAATAGAGGAGGTTTTGTCACAGAGGTGCATACCTATAAAAAGCAAGGAGCGTTTCTTAGCAAACTGGAGTCCTTCTTTCCTCTCTACTTCACGATCAGGCTGCAGAGACAAATGAAGAACATGGCTAAAAGAAGCTACACTTGCCCCTTTTAGGAAGTACCTGGAAAAGCACCACTGCAGAAGCGAGGTTTTGTTGAAAAGAAAAAGAATGTCTGCAATGTGTAGTAATCAAGTAGATTTTCCCACTCTACAGGCAGCTTACTGCTAGGCCAGCTCTTACAGGGTCAAATTGAACAGTAGCAACATCAAATCAGGATCTCTTTGAGTTGGAAGGGACCCACCAGGATCATCCATGTCCAACTCCTGGCCCTGCACAGGACAGCTCCAGGAATCACACCATGTGCCACATCAGTAGGAAATGACCGTGTTGCCATGCTCTGGATCAACCAGGAGCAAGGTACATCTCCAGAAAGGAGAACTCAGTAGGCAAGTAGCCAAAAAGGTTCTGAAACTGGGCAGATGAGAACCTAATTCAGGATAGTCACACTGAAAACCTCTTGTAAAGCAAGAGTGAAGCATCTCACCATGCAACAGGCACCTAAATATGTCAAAACACCCCAGAAACAAACAGCAACCAGTGCACCTCACAGCCACATTAAAATCTTTAACAATACCTGTTTTTAAAATGATGTCATAAGTGGAGCCTGCCCATCTCAGTTACAGAGCATAACACCTCCTCACACAACAGATGTGTCACTTACTGCATTTTATCTCCCATTTATACTCTATCAGGAGTAAGCAATCTGGGGAATAATGTAAAAGGATTCATTCCTAAACTGACCTTATCAGTTTTATTGCCAACCAACATCTTCACAGTGTTGCTTTTGGAGGTATAGATGTCCAGCTCCTTCAGCCAGCTTTCTAGTCCTGTGAAAGTGTCTTTTCTTGTAACATCATACACTGATAACAGAGGAAAAGATGCTTAACAGCTGTAAAGTCTTGAACAATGTTCACTTAGTCCACACTACCTAACTACTGCCCTGAAAAAAAACCAGTATTAGGGAATTACAGAAAGAAACATAAACCATATCCTCTTCCCAGAGCTGGAACACCCCTGCTGTGCTCACCCAAAGTCACTGTGGGTTACAGAACACAAGCATCTCAGTGACTGAAAATCAGACTTACCAATGAAATCTTCTACCTGTTGGTAGTTCTGCATTGGGCCATGCAGAATATTTTAAAATAGGTGTTTTGTCACCTCATTTCATGTGTAACTACATACATGTGCTGCTGCTAAAAACATGGACTGAGTAAAAAGCAACTTTTGGGCACTGGTAACTTCTTAACTGCATTCATGTAAACGACTGAGGTTTAAAAAGCTGAATCACAGTCAGAATATTTTGTACAGCAAGGTGTTCAGCCTTCACAAACCCTGAAATCAGGAGTCCTTTTGTTTTCTAATTGCTGTTGTCACACAGAAAGGGCCTGGCCATCCATTACCTGTGTACAAACCTCAAGTCAGCATAATCAAATCAATAGTTTCTGGGGGAAAAAGAAGTAAAAACGTCATGGGGAAGAGAACACAACACAACCCCCAGTTTGCCTTATTACCAGAAAACCACTGAAGTAATAACTACAAAGCTAATAATTCATCCACCTTACAGTGTGACATCTCTGGTTTTTTAATTTAAAATATTTTTAAGCAGTGCTACTTCCTGCCAGTGGTTTTGTGTTTGAGCAGTAATGAGCAGTAAGTGTTGTAAAAAACATATAAGCATCCCTCTGATTCTCTCAGGTAACCTCCTTTTGTAAGGGCATGCACATTTAGGAGTAAACAAAGACCACAATTTTTGTAATCATGTTTTTTTTCTTCCATATGCTTCATACCTAAAACAACCCCTTGAGCTCCTCGGTAATAACTGGGAGTCAGTGTCCTAAAGCGCTCCTGTCCTGCCGTGTCCTGCAGTGGGGATGGGGGGGAAAGAAACCAAACACACAAAATCAAACATATTTAGAACAAAAAAAAAAAAAAAGTATTTTAAACTACACAAGATGAGCAAATTTAAAATTTTCCTGCCCACTAAGGATACACGAAACCATTAAGATATGAGAATGAGCAAAGCTGTCAGGAAACGTTGGCAGCAGCAACAGAAAATGGTTAAGGAGGGGTAGAAAAGCATAGAGAGGATTTGATTGAAGGTTAAAGCAATAAGCAGACACTGAAACATGAGTGAGACAGTAAGAAAATCAAAAGGACTCTAGAGAAATTCATAAAAGGCAAGCAGTTAGGCTTGATCAGTTAAAAACCAGCTGAACTGAATGAGGGGAGGAGTAACAGGTTTTCCAGTGAGAGACACTGCAGGAAAGGAGACACAGTAATTCCAAATATCTCCCTTTGCTCCTCCACACCACAGGGAAGAAGAATCCAGCTAGAAAGAACTACTTCAAGACTGCTATGAATCTAAGCAGATAAGAAATTTAAAATCAGTAGTTTCACTTAATTGTTACTGCACTATGTCACACTTACTCTCTCGAATAAGTGAGCTACTAAGTGCAATATGAAACTCAAAAAAACCCTCAGAACAAACAATAAGGAGGGGGGAAAAAAATCACACAAATATGATTTTTTAAAAAAAAATTTATTTACTTTTAGGTACAGTTTACAATTGATAGACTAACACCTATGTTGGAATTTATTTATTTTTTGTTAAAAAAAACCCTAAAGTTGGCAATATATTTACTTCATTCAAATTATTGCTGCTAAAGAGATTATAATCTTAGGCTTCTACACACACATTGACACTAAAGCAGAAGCCTCTTTTTGACTTCAACACACTGTTTATGCATTAAAGTTTTTATTTAACACTGTACAACCAGACTGGTGTGTCATTGTCCCCCTCCCAGCCCAAAGCACGTTTGTGCTCTGCTTCCATCTCAATTTCTTAATTAATAATGGTGTTTTCTTTCTCAAATACCTGTGGCCAGACACATAAAATCTCTCCTTTCTGGAGCTCTTTCATTCCACTTAGAAGAATAAATGTGGTGCTTTGTATTATAAATAATCCTGACCCCACAGCTGCAGTTTGATTTCACAGTTTGCAGATGCTGGAAATACAGCATCAGGAAGTTAAGGACAAACACTCAAGTCTTGCAGTAAATCTGAACCAGCTTTTAAATAGTTCAAGACCAAGTATACTTTTTTGCATGATTTTAACCAAAATAAAGCCTCTGGACTATTTCTGATGTAGTATACACAGAATAGCTGCACAACCCCTACAGGAAATCACCCAACTCATCACCCAGAGCATCAATTTTCTGCAGTTTACTCAACTTGCATCCCAGGTGTGCCTCTGGGTCATACAGGCATAGAACCCTCCCATCTTCAGCAGTTTAACACTTCACAGAGCCTTTGAGAGACCCAGTTCTGTAACTGCAGGAAAGAGCAGCCAAAGTCTCTACTAGAGTTGAAAGAAGTCCCGAACCTTGACCAATGAAACTTTTAGAAAAGTTTTGAAAGGACATTGTCTGCAACTACTGCTGTAAGATCATGAGAGACATTCTTGAGACATTGCATCATAAATATAAAATCTCGACATGCAGAAGACTTGAGCAAGGGAGGAGGAGGAAGAAAGGGGGCAGGGGGGAAAGAAAAACACAGAAAGCAGCTTTGCACGTCTGCCGAGAACAAACCTATCCCTACCTGTCTGGAAGAAGACCTACCCATATGGCAAGCTGTACTGCACGGCCGTCCACCACCATCTTCTTCACTCTAAAATCAACACCTGAGACGTAAGAAGGGAAGGCTTGTTAGAAGGAGCTGTCTCAGCCGCCTCCCGCGTTCACACGACCCCGGCACCCCAACAGGAACGTCCC